GCCGCCGAAATAGACCTTCTGTGGAGTAAAGAGCTGAAAAATGGATATTTGGACTAACGCATTAGAACGATGTGGAATTATGATCTGAAATTTACTAAATACAAATAAATGCAAATAAATTTAAGTCTGTGTAATTGTAAGACATACATACATACATACAGATAGATATACAAACAAACATAAACACATGCATACACGCACATACATAGATACATACGAACACATACATATAAACATACAGGCATACATTTAGACATGTATACAGACAAGCAGAAATACGGACTGTGAGGACTTATAGACAAGCATACAGACATACCGACAAACAGGCATATCGGAAAACAGACGTATAGACAGACATACAGACGAACATACAGCATACAAACATCTCCATCTCGAAGACTGGGGAAGAGCTGAATGAGGCCAGAAAAGCATGAATCTGTCTTCGTCTTCTGGTGGGATCAGTGCTTCCCCAAAGCAAAGTGCGAATCACCAAAACATTAGAGGGACAGTCATCCTAAATGTCTGCGGGTAAAAACACGCACCAAATGGTACAAGACAGCTCCCCGCAAGTTAGGAATAGACCAGTTGTCTTGGAAATGTGGTCCGTTATTAGCCACAGGCAAACTAAGCAAATCTCGGCAGTCAGGCAACCGGACATTCCGATCAGCGCGGTTGCTTTTTGTGGGAAACATGCCCATCCGCTAATCAACTAATCACCTGATGCATTTAATTTAGGACATGGGAAGGCTTCTCTTGTTGCCTGGCCAAGGGCAGTACAAAGTACAAACTCACATGGATAGGTTGTTATGTAGTCGATGATGTAACGGGCCATTGTAGCGGTGGGATTCCGACAGAAATGTGGAATGCATGGGACTTGGACTTGAGGCCAGACGCGAGACCTTGACTGAAATGCCAAGTCGAGTGAAGTGTCGACTCCCATAGTCTTCGTTAACCCTGAAGAGGAGGAGCAAGGGTGAAAGATGAGAATGTAGAAAGAAGCGCCACTTCGAGTGCCGTAGCAATTGTACATGTTTGAGGACGGTAAGAGACATGTTGTTTACATTATAAGATGTATTCGTTTAAGATAAATTTTCCAAAAATGATGAGTATAACTGACGCTTCCACAGCCTCAAGACCCATGCGAGGTCGAAATTGTGAAAGCGAGGCTGTAAAACTCAACGTCGGCTATACTCATTTAATTGTGAGGCGAAATAGAGTAACCGATTTAGTGGTAGTCTCTAAACCCTACTAATAAACGAAAAAATGCTTACATTGTTTGAGGCCTCCAGTCGCCCTTCCACTGCTGGACATCGACAGGGCCGAAGAACCTCCAGTTCGGGCCAAAGTGCCAACAATATGTGGTTTCGACGGTAGAAGTGCCTGACGG